CTTGGGGCAGCTTACAACATTTGCTCGCCAAATGTTTCTATTGACATAAAGCAACTGATCTTCACAGGCAGTTGGGCAGGCCAACATCAAAGATTACTACCAAGAGTGTACCAACATGAGAAAATTGGCAAAATAACCTTGCATCTACTACAAGCCACCTCATTCTACTTGATTAATCAGCGAGGAAGCCACTTCATTCTGCTTGATGCTAGGATTTGAGTCAAAATGCAAAAATCTCTTCTATGAGACCTGTAACATAATGGAAAATTACTGTGGCACATAATTATCTGTTTCAAGGTTTATTTCTTATATCTCTCTCTTTCACTGCTGTAATTGCAAAGCCTCATCCTGTTTTGTGGTCAAGGCCTCTTCAAATTCAAGTCCAATTCAAAAGAAACTAAAGACATCTGGTCACACCATGAATGAAAGGAAAAAGATTCAGAGAGAGAAAAATGAAATGGTTAGATTTAGAAAATAGCCTTGTATCCCAAAAAAAGTGTCCTGAAGAAAATCTGACACAATTCCAACCCAAATTTTGGCCCAACAGTTAGAAACTAAAGATTCTTAATCTAAATACCTCTAAATATGCCCAATGTGTTTAGTTTTGTGGCTTTTTTTTTTTTACAAAATTATACTATAGTATGCTTTAGCAACCATTTTTCACAGCATGCAAAGCTGCTGGAATATAGATGAACTCCTAGTTTATCCATCTATAATAATTAGAAATATTTTTTTACTGTATCTCTTTCTACAACTATGTCCTATTAATAAACACATAATATTTAAAGAATTTCATAGATGTATTTGTCCTGATTCCATGAATGATGATACTATTACTTGAATTTTTAGAAGAAAGAAGAGAGGGTGAATCAAAAAGATTTCAAAACCACATATATTCTGCCGTTTAATACACATATTAAAAGAAGTGACTCAAATCTTGTTTACTTACAAGACCCAGTCATCTTTCAATATCAGAAATACTTCTTAGGCTTTATTGCTTAAGAAATAGATACCAAGAGAGAGCATATTCTTTCTTTTCCCAAAAATGGATCTTCCACATTTATCACAGGACCAACTTACTAATTTTCATTTCACTTCCTTCAGTTCAGAACTTGTTACTAAAATTGGATGACTTCCAATGAGGAAATGGTGAACTGTTGTCCCATGGATAATGGGAAACACTATGGCTTGAAAACAGCAGGTTGATTCTGAATCCAGACTGCCAAAATCTCTCTGGAGAAAGGAGAGTTCTTGAGATTGCCCATTTGTACTCTAGGCAGCTGTTTATTGTAAGTAGGCAGCAGAAACCAAAGTTTTTGCAGTTGGCTTGCATCCCATTCAATGAGATTCCATTGAATACATAGCTGTCAAAGTGGCCTATGTGGACTTGACTGAACCTAAATCCCTTAATCACTTTGGATTTAATTTTTTATTGCTTTTTAAAGATTGAAAATCTTTGGAACAGCAGGCATTATTGTATTCACTGGGTGAATCTCTTTCAGTCTTTTAAGAGGTTTGAATTACAAGTCTAAGGTTTGCAAAATAAATGTTTTAACATACCGCAAATAGGGGAATGTTGATTTTAGAAAGTTTTAATTAGAGTAAGAGTTCAGAAGGAACTCAGATTAACACTTTTAAATTAACTATAAGAATCCTTCCCATGGGAAACTTTCCAAGTTTACATCTTGCAGGGAAAATAACTGATAAGATATTTTGTAAGTTAATCACTAGAAGGAACCAAAAGGAAATAAATACATCAGTGGAGTTACTGAGAAAGAATTATGAGTTTTGGACTCAGAAATTAATTTCAAAGATATCCACTGTTACAGATAAACTAAATGTCACAGGAACAAGCTTCATTGGATAAGATTGAAATTGATTTCAATGTGGACTTAAAACATAAAAATGAAATATAGGATATAATAGCCTAATATTCTAACAATTAAAAAAAAACCAACTAAATATTAAACCAGAAAAGTAATGTGGATAACCTTTTTATTTGGATTTACTAAAGGGACTTCTTAAAATTGTCAATTATTTGTGAGAAAAAATAAGGAAAACACAAAAAGGAAGGAGATGCTAGGACTTTATCTGAGGGGACTAGAGATTGTTAGGAGGAAGGAAAACAAATATAACATTAACTTATTTGACCAACATCAAAATAGATGGGCTGCTATCTCTAGTAATGTTTACTGGGTTTCTAACTAGGATTGAATGATGATATTCTGTTTACGGGACAGAAATTTCATGTTTTCATTTACATTAATAAATGTAAAGGAAAAGTGGGTTCATTAAGTAGAGTTGCTAATAGTTTTGTTGTTATTTCTGATGACCCTTAATGAACTTCTGCTGATTCAGGTGGAATTAAGCTTTAAAAATCTGTTTATAGAGAATGGAGTGAGATATGGGTTTGTTGTATTACAAGAGATAATGAAAGTTATTAATGAAGTTATAGCTACTTTGGTATGAAGTAAGATCATAAGTAGAGTCCCAATTTCACTTAGCAACCATTTCATTTAACAACTGAGTTGCCAGTCCAAATTATGTCACTAAACAAGAACTACCTGTATTTGTATTTATTCCTGCAAGATATACTGTATATAAAAATTATTGGGTTCCAGATATAAATGTGATCTTTTACCCATGAAAAGTTTGCATTATGTGAAACTTTCAGTTTAAAAACAATGTTTACAACTTTTTGGGATGGCTAAACTGATTACTGTGGTTCAACCAAGATCTAAGAAAACTTTATTTTTATATTTTTTGCATATATATATATATATAGGTTTTCCCTACATAACCAAGGTTTTTTTGTAGCTCCAGCTCAGTAGAATCACATCTACTCGGTTCTGGGCTTTTTTCCTTTCTAACATATGTTTATATGTTAAAGACAAAATTGAGTTAGAAAATCAAGGAGTATATGAAATCCCATGCATTGCCTGCCCCACCACATACATCGGACAAACCAACAGACGAATAAGTGCACGCATAGAAGAACACAAGAACTCAGTCAGAAAAGAGGAACCAACTTCTTCCCTGGTCCAACACCTTAAAGCCACAGGACATGATATTGACTTTAAAAAGACCAGAACTATCGCCAAAACTGAACACTTTAACAACAGAATAATCAGAGAAGCCATCGAGATAGAAAAACGCCCACACAGCATGAATAAACAAGATGATACCTCCCGCCTACCAGCCATTTGGAAACCCGCCCTCATTGACAAACGAGTCCCTAACACAAAGAAGGACACCAGACCCACACTCACGAAAGCCACACAGGATGTCACCACCACACATCCACGCAAAAAGCAGAACACACCCCCATCCAATCAGAGCACAGCCAACCCGCCATCCAATCAGAGCACAGCCAAACCCCCAACCAATCAGTTCACACCCCCACTGGCAGTTAAAAGGAAGAAACAGCTGCGATCACACATTGCTCCTAGAAGCACGAACCCGAAAACACCAGCCTGAAGATGACGAATGAGACTTCGTCGAAACGTTGCCAAGACACTTCCAATTTTACGTGGGAGAAAACCTGAATAACCAAAGACCTACATACAAACACCCACGAAAACCTCAGAATTTATATATATGTGTGTGTGTGTGTGTGTGCATGTGTTTCCTGGCGCTTTGGGAGTTTTATGCTAGTTAGAAGAAAATATCATCCCTTTTCAAATAAATCCACATGCTCTTGCCAACACCCAACCCCATAAGTATTCAGAAAGTGTAACAGATCTCTTCATGATAACTATTAAAGGAGACCTAGGTCACACTGTGAAGACCAGATTCGAGCATATTTGCTGTCAATCTACAGAACTCTTTGTACATTCACGATGGGATGGGAATTCTAATGGAGCATGCAAGCCAACCTTTTTGATTTCCTCCAACATAAAAAGTGAAGAAATGACCTTTTAACTAAAAAAAAGAATTTTCATGTCCATCCAGTTGTGAAAGATTTTTTTCACACCTGTAAGACTCAAAACATCTTGTAATATAAATTTCCATCTTTGAAAACAGAAACCCCTTGGGCTATTTGGACTTGTTTTTATACCAGTATATGGAAAAAAACATGTTTTACTTTAAAATGAAAATGGTGAGACATGTCAATATTTTGCCCCTCTATGATGTAGAAGCGTGTGCAGCCAGAAAATATTTATTTTGCTCTGATTTACTGATTTACTTAACTAAAAAGCTGAAAGCCATTTTTCATCTGCAGTAACAATATAAAAGCATTTTCTGGTCAGATGGTTTAAATAGGTCTTTTCTTGTAATTTAATTTAATTTTAATTTAAGGAAAATGGAAGGAAAATGAACACCCAAAAGTCATATCCTTTGGGTTCCTCCTACCAAAATTATTAGCAGGTTGGAAAGCAAGTTAACATTCACATTAAGAGACCCTTGGAAAGAGAGTGATGATTTGATTTGAAAGCAGAAAATGTTAAGTGTGTGTGTGTGTGTGTGTGTCCCCAAAAGGGGGGGGGATTCTTCACCTTCGTAAAGAGGTGTCTCACATTAAGACAAATGTGCTAACATTTCTACAAAGAATAGTTGTTTTAGTCAAGGCTACTTTAGTATAATTGCCCCTCTGCCAAGGAAGCTCACCAGAAAGCCAGAAAATGTTGCATTTATGTTCAAAAATCCACCACAAAATCTAAACTTAGACTTAGTTGGCTCTTTTGCTAAAACATGATTGTCAGTTAAAATTATAAGTCAATTCATACCACATGAGAAAAATACATACCTTTATCCAGAGAGATTTCTGCTTACAATAAAAATAGAATTAGTCAATGATGATGATAGCTGTTGATAAAAATAATTGGTTAAAATAATTGCGAAACAAAGATCACAAAAGAATAGTGCCTTGTTATGACACTTGAATGCAACAGTTTTATTCAAGTGGCCAAAATTAGCTTTACTTTAAAATCAGCTATATGACCTCCAATACCTTGAAAACAAGTGATATATTGGCCCATTCAGTGCTATATCCTTTTGCTAGCCATCTCCTGAAAGCATTGTAACTCCAGCTTCAGTTTGCTGGGGAAGAAAGATCAAGAAGTATAAAGTATCAAATAAAATAAAGTATAAAAAATGATAATTAAAAAATAATCAATACATAATTTAAAAAGAAAACCAAAAAATGGGGGGGGGCATCCCCTCAAAGGGCAGAGTTGATGGACTGCTGGGTCTTTTTCTGCGGTCAGTTTTCTATGTTTCTAAAATATTTGTAATCATTCCAGTATAGAGTAATGAAAAATTAAAATATTTAATTGGTTCTCATGCTCATTGCAGAGAGTTGTATTAGATGGTCCTTGTGATCCTTTCCAGCTCCACAATTCTATAATTCTGTGAAATTAAAATCAATAATCTTCAGCTCTAAAACCAAAATAAAGCTTCTCCAGAGTCTGGAGATGTTAAGAGTTGACATCTACTGATAATCTACCAATTTGGTGACATGTTTTGGTATATAAACAGTTTATAGTCTATATATGTATTTGTAAATCTTTTTCAAATAATGCATATTCACAATTTGTGCACAAGAATCTTTTTCTTGTTCAAAGGTATATGTTGAATCTTTGATATGGGATCTTATATACCATATGTATTTAAAGTATAGCTGAAACTCAGGTAAGTGAATCAGATCCACAATGATCTGATTCCATTTGTTTAAATTACTTTATAGTAATTACAGAATTACTTTAGCATATCATGAATCACTGATATAAAATATATAAATCTAATATATGAGTCCTACTAAAGCTTACAATTTCATAAAAACAATAGGCAGAGCCAGAAAACAGAACAATGAAAAAGTATCTGATTGAATGAAGATAGAAATTAGCTTAATATGATAACTCATAAAATTCATAAAACACCAACCATTTAATCTTTTTCTAATAACTTCACATTCCAGTCTTTCATTTATCACCCAGAGACAAGTAGAGAGAATGAGAAAAGGTCGCGAATTTATGGAAGATTAACAAATCTAAATGATAGGTTCGTATCCAGCGTATGGGAAACACTGTTCTAACATATCCTAGCTCAGGGATCTCCAACCTTAACAACTTTATGACTTGTGGACTTCAACTCCCAGAATTCCTTAGCCAACATGCATTGAATTCTGGGAATTGAAGTCCACAAGTCATAAAGTTGCCAAGGTTGGAGACCTCTGTGCTGGATCGTAGTCAAGTTGAATTTTAACTTTTGCTATTCAAAGTAGAAAAATGTTTGATGATAAATATGTTGTGAATATTATTTCTAATGTAGGAAGAAATATCCTTCTGGGTTCAGCTCCAAGTGGGGAAAAAGACACTGGAAACATGGAGACTGCTTGGAAAGATAGTTTAATGGTGGACAGGATCACATGGTTTGAGTTCCTGAACAGAAAAAGGGACGAGAGGCAGTGAGTCCCCGGGTTTTATGCCCTCTCTGGCTTTGAACTTCCTGGGGCTCAGAAAGAGTATCCTGATTGGTTGTCAGACTCCAGGGGGTGGGGGTTTTAGCTAGCCTTGCTGGCTGATGTAATCTTCCCAGGTGCCATGTGGTGAATTTCTGTTGCTTGATGGGTCCTATTGTGTTAGTTTCTGTTGCTAGATGGGTCCTATTGTGTTGCAGATGATGGTCCATTGACAAAGATTGAGTTTCTGCCTCTGACCCATTGACAAAGGGTGGGGGCTGCTTCATTTTTAAAACATGCTTCTCCATTTCTCATCCAGGGAAACATAATATTCTGCCTTTTTAATATTTCCCAAAATATTTCATTCCTCTAGGAAAGGGATGGGTGCTAACTTCCTACACTAAGTTACTTGGAACAAGCCTAAATAAAATCCATAATATTACATCCAACTCGTTACACCCACCCACAAACACACACCTTCAGCCATTATTTCCTATGCTATTTGATCTCATGCAAAATTGCTCAGGGAAGGTTGTGGTACATTTGTGAGGATCATACACCTTACGGATCTCATTATTACTCAATCTGATTCTAATTTGCTAAACTTGGATATCAAGCAGTGTGACTACTAAAAACCAGATGAATATTGTCTATCCACAGTTTCCTCTAATAGACCTTTCCTCCCTTACTGCCAGAATGACTGAAAATAACTGATTTAGAAGGCCTGCAACTGAGATACTTGGGCTGGATTAGCAAAGATCAACAAATAACAATAGTTTATGTTGACAGTAAATGACCTGCTATCTGATATATCAAGTTATTGCAATTATGTCTAATGAACTTACTTCCTCAACCTTTTGTTAGCTGTCATTATTATAAAAGGCAGGTCATAAAATCTACAAATGGGAACTCTCACTAGCCTTGTGATGAGCCTCTTTCCCTTGATCTCAGATTGTAAATTCTCTAATAAATGTGTACAGATGGACAGTCTATTTGTTGTTCTGTCAAGTCAGGCCATGTAAAGGGGAAAGAAAGTTAAAAGCAACCAGGAATGGAACTAATGATGTGAGCTTGCTTCTGCCAAGAGGCACTTACTAAAATTATTGTAGCATTTAAAGAGCATAATGAAGCGACATTTCTTTTTAACTTCATTGTTTCATCTGAATTAGGTTTAACAAGGGAAGATCAGGTTCCTAAGAGAACATGACTTACTTAAACTGATGCACTTGTGCAATGTTTCTTTGTGTGGCATGGCAACCAAAAAAACCCTCCCAACTCACTTGTTTGTCAGGTCTCCCCAAAACATGAAGTTATTATCAATGTTTACCCTCATTTTTGCAATAGGGTGCACCTTGTTCCTGAATGTTCCCCATTGTCTTTGATTTTCATGCTTTCAAACAGCCAAGAGTTTGAAGTGAGAGGGGAAGATAATTTAATTCCCCTGAAATGAATAAACATTTGAAAAATGATTTGAAAGAAGCTCGTCATCTCTCTATTGTTCATTAAAGCAGCCCACTTTTTTAAAAGTTTTTTTCTTTTCGTGAAAAGATATCTTCCGCTCTTAAGACATGTGCTGGCTTTAATTAATAAATTCCTTGCTTATTACAGAACACATCTCTTGGTTCTAATCTGCATTTTATGTTGTTCGTATCACTGACATCAATGACTGAACCATTCCACTTGGAGTTATAGCCAAACACAACAGAAAGCACCTCTCTTATTTGTCTTTTCTAAGCTAAATGCTTAGAATGCAGCTGCGCGAGCTATCGTGGGTGCACCTAAATGCACCCACATTACACCAATTCTCCACGAGCTGCACTGGCTCCCTATTGGTCTCCAGGCACAATTCAAGGTGTTGGTTATTACCTTTAAAGCCCTACATGGCTCAGGGCCAGGCTATCTTCGAGACCGCCTTCTACCGCATAGCTCCCAGCGACCGGTAAGATCCCACAGGGTTGGTCTCCTCCGGGTCCCGTCAGCTAAACAATGCTGGCTGGCGGGCCTGCGGGGGAGGCCTTCTCTATGGCTGCCCCAGCTCTCTGGAACCAGTTACCTCCTGAGGTCCGGACCACCCCCCACCCTATTGGCCTTCCGGAAAGCGGTGAAGACCTGGCTGATCTCGCTGTTCAATCTTGCGAGATCCGGCCATGGATGGTGTGCATGTGTTTTTAATGTTTTTAAAATGCTTTTATAATGTTTTTTTTTTAAAAAAAAAAAATTATGTTCATTGTTTGTATTATTTTTGTTGTAAGCCACCCAGAGTCTCTTGGGAGTTGGGCGGCATAGAAATATGATTAATTAAATTAAATTAAATTAAATGGTCTCAAATCTTTCCTCTTTTCTTCTGAAGGCCCTTTGATCATTTATGGCTATCCTCTTCCATTTCTTGTTCCATTTCTTAACTGTGGTGCCACATCTTTCATGTATATCCATGCCATAATAAGTAAGGTAGCAACCATAGCTTATCAGGAGTTAATGGATAGATGGGTTGAAGTATTCTAAGCCTAGGATAGCAGCCTTTCCTCTTGTGTAAATGAGATTGGACAGCCATTTGTCTGAAATGATATAAGGTCTCTTGCTTCAGCAGAGGGTTCGACTAGAAGACCTCCAAGGTCCCTTTCAACTCTATTATTCTATTATTATCACTTTGGGGTCCATCAAATTGTTGTGATATTACTATTATAGCTTTTCCTGAAAAAAAAAACCCTGGATGTGAAATCCATATCAACCGGTTCCCATGTATTTTCTTGTTTTGAGGTTTCCAGTTTCTCATTTTCTGCTACTCATCTTCCCTTTAGATTCTCCCTTCAGATTTTTATTGGCCTTTTTTTCCTGTGTCATTATTAGCAGCTTCAGGGGGGGAGGAAACAACATTAGGAGGCAAAACTCTCTTCTCATCACCGAGTCTTTTCCCATGTAAGATTGAGAGTACCTTGGCAAAGTTTCAACGAGGTCCCACTCATCATTTTCAGGCTCGTGTCTTCGGCTTCGTGCCTGTGCGAGCAAAGCACAATCACAAAGCTGAAGACACCAGCCTGAAGATGACGAGTGGGACCTCATCGAAACGTTGCCAAGATACTCTCAATCTTACATGGGAAAAGACCCGAATACGCCAAGACTTGCATACCTGTACCCGTGAAAATCTACGAATATATATATATATATGTGTGTGTGTGTGTGTGTATAGTTAATATTTCGGGTTTCTTCCCGTGTAATTGTGGATATATCCCTAAAAGGGTAGAAGCGACGTTTCGGCAGAATCCCATCTGCCATCATCAGGCTTATGTCAGCAGTCATTTTGCACTAACTGACTGACTAACTGACATATATATATGTTTTCTGACGTTTTCGCGGGTGTTTGTATGTAGGTCCTTGGTTATTCAGGTTTTCTCTCGCGTAAAATTGGAAGTGTCTTGGCGACGTTTCGACGAAGTCTCATTCGTCATCTTCAGGCTGGTGTTTTCGGCTTCGTGCTTCTAGGAGCAATGTGTGATCGCAGCTGTTTCTTCCTTTTAACTGCCAGTGGGGGTGTGAACTGATTGGGTGGGAGCTTGGCTGTGTTCTGATTGGGTGGAGGTGTGTTCTGATTGGTTGGGGGCTTTCTTTTAGCCAGGTTTTTCCTACGTAGCCAAGATTTTTCTACAGCCCTAGCTCAGTGGAGTCACACACACACACACACACATATATATATGCAAGTTTTGGTGTATTCGGGTCTTTTCCCGTGTAAGACCCGAATACACCAAAACTTGCATACCTCTACCCATGAAAATCTACAAAAACATATTTATATATATATATATATATATCCTTTTCTGGAGACCATTTTTTAAAAGGTTCTGTTTAAAATGCTATTTTATTATGTTTTATTCTTGGGAGTTGGGCAGCATAAAAATGCGACAAAATAAATAAATAAATAAATAAATTTTTTATTATAGCCAAGCTACACACTAAAGGCTCAAGAGAAAATAAATGGAGCAGATATATATTAAATATAAACTAAGATGGCCCAAATTCATTTGAGTGGTAAGTTTTATGTCTTGGGAAATTAAAAGTAATTATATAAGAACTAATGTTCAGAGGTGACAAAAACGTAATAGTTCCATCAAAAGACTGCTTCCAAATCCGTAGAGAAAACAGTCCTTATATTTACAAGATATAATCCATTATTTATTGTTACAATAATATAAATAGTAAGTTTACAATAAGCAGAAAACAAGAAATGGATTTTTTTATTTTCAAGTTTTACCACTTTTATTTTCAGGTTTTACCACAGAAAGTGACAAACTTGGAAAATCACATTAGAGAGAATTTTCCAATGTCAGCAACAACTCAAGATGTGAATATTAAATATTCAAATATGGACTGAGGAAACATAGGTTTCCTTTCAGAAATATTAGTAACGCTTTAATACTAATTAATTTAGTAATAATTAGTAATAATAATATTAACATTAGTTCATTATGAAGTGTTACTACCTCTTTATAAAGCCTTAGTAATACCACACTTAGAATACTGCATCCAGTTTTGGTCACCGTATTATAAAAAAAAATGTTGAGTTTCTGGAAAGAATGCAGAAAAGAGCAAAGAGGTTAAAACATATGAAGAATGGTTGCAGGAATTAGATATGTCTAGTTTAGTGAAAAAAGGACTGGGGTGATATGATAGCAACGTTCCAATATTTGAAGGGCTGTCACTAATGTTATGACTGTAACCTTGTTGCTGGTATCCTTAAGATTTATATTGACTGTTTCCTAATATGATTGATTGCTTATTTGTTCCCTATGACCATCATTAAGTGTTGTACCTTATGATTCTTGACGAATGTATCTTTTCTTTTATGTACACTGAGAGCGTATGCACCAAGACAAATTTCTTGTGTGTCCAATCACCCTTGGCCAATAAAAAAATTCTATTCTATTCTATTCTATTCTATTCTATTCTATTCTATTCTATTCTATTCTATTCTATTCTATTCTATTCTATTCTATTCTGCTCTATTAAGAGGGGCTGTCACAACCTATTTTCCAAAGCACCAGAAGGCAAGGCAAGAAACAATGGATGGAAACTAATCAAGGAGAGAACCAACCTAGAACTAAGGAGAAATTTCCCAACAGTGAGAACAATTAAGCAGTGTAACATCTTGCCTTCAGAAGTTGTGGGCACTCCATCACTGGAGGCTTTTAAGAAGAGATTGGACAGCCATTTGTCTGGAATGGTATAGGATCTCCTGCTTGAGCAGGAGGTTGGAGTAGAAGACCTCCAAGGGTCCTTCCAACACTTTTATTCTGTTAGATCAATATTACTTCAGCTTCTCCTTTCTTGCCTTCAACTCAGAGCTTCTCTTTATGAGATAGTGCCTAGTCTTGTTTTTTCTTCACTCCATTTTTTTCCACTATTAACCTCCAAGCCTCTATGGTTTCCTCTTTCCTTTTGAGGGGTGGGTAAATGGTACCCTCACTCGCTTTTCCTTGCTATGGTCAGTTTGCCTCCAAGGAACAGAGTCGTCCTTTCAGAGAGTCTAGCAGCTGCTGCAGCAGCGAAAAGTCCAATTCAGCAGGCATGTGAGGGAATGAGAAGAATTCCATTGGAAAACATTTGGGGTACTCCACTCCCCCCAGATTCTACAGTAGCCTAGTGTTAGCATCAAAACCTGCTCCCAATAACTGTCTCTGCTTTGAAGCAGAAATGAGAGCAAGAGACTGGCTTTAAAAAGTATGCCCTGTGGAAAAAGAAGAGCAATGTGCATTTAGGAAAATGGGTTTTGGTCAATCTATGTTAATAAATAACAAGGGGACATGTGTGCATGGAAAGAAAATATTTGTAAGAGGAAAAAGTCTTGACAATAATGACCTATTAAAATGGACAGTAAAACAAGCACGTTTTTTCAACCATTTCTGTATCTCAAACAGAAGGAATGGAGTTAGCCTCCTTTAAGCCTTACTTATAAATGAACCATTGAACCAGGGTTCTCACTAGAGCCACAAATGACCAGGTTCCAATTATCCGACTTCGGACACATTATCTTTTTGAAGAAGGCTCTAATGATGGGAAAGATGGAAGGAAAGAAAAGGATGATCAGCAGCAAAATGGATGGATTCACTTACAATGGCAATGAATACATCATCGGAAGGGTGGAAAGATCAGGTTAGAGATAGATCATCATGGAGAATATCCATATGTTGACATCAACTTGGTGGTAAAAACTCAATAATCAAGCCTGGCCTGTATGTTTATATATATGTTTTTCTTTTAGCCAGGTTTTTCCTAAAAAAAATTATAACAAAGATTATCTTTAATCTAGAGATAATGATTCAACAACCTCTCTCTAAATTTAAGCAAATAATACCAATATTTAAAATACTAGTAATCAACTTTCTAACATACCATATTCATAAAATATTAACTTTAGTCTAACATATAACAAATTGTCAAATACGAATAGTCTTGTATTTAAAATGCTACAATATTTCTTTAATCCAATCCAATCTAATCCTCAAACCCCAAAGTTAAAAGCAGATTTTTCTCTTGGTTTTGTAAGAAATACAATAGTTGCAAGTTGCAAGAAAAAAAAAATGTTGTGTATTTTCTGTCTTAAAAATAAAATAAACTCTAGAACTGTCAACAGCTAAGCATGTGCAATGATTAACTTTACATAACATATTCTGTGTTACAAATGCATTTGATACCCATCATAACAATAATTAAAGAAATAGGCAAGAGTTGGAAACACGTGATGCATTTTCATTTGGATCCAAACTGTGAGCACAAATTGAATTCACAGATTGAGACAAGGATACACAAACTGTGGTTTGTGCCAAAATTACAAAATGAATGTGTGTAAAATGCTCCCCCTAAATGAAAGTAATGATTTCATTGGGGTTAGAGTTAGATTAAGATTAAGATTAAGAATGGTTGAGGCATCAGGCTAGAAACCCAGAAGTCTGTGAGTTCTAGTCCCACCTTAAGTATGAAGGTTGGATGGATGGATGACTTTGGGCCAGTTGCTCTGTCTCAGTTCGCAACCTCAGTCTCGGGCAACAAACCAGTCAGTCAATTCCTGTTGCAACCAATGAATCAACATTTGGTTGATCCAAAAAAAGGAGACTCTGAACTTGTAGGAAAACACTAGGAAGAAAAAAAGTTGGGCAAACAAATAAATAATGGCCTTTTAATAATTTAATTGAATATGTAAAAGGTAGAGACCATATATTATAAAATATAACCAAATCATTGAAAATAACTGGGGGGGGGACCCTAATAAAATTCAAAACCTTATTTTTAAAAGGGGTTTGTTCACTTTTGCATTATTTCTGAAATTGGGGCTTCATTTTGAAGAAAGGGGGGGGATGAATGGGAGACTGTTTCCTTGCCTCGAATCAACTTCTTTAAATCCGCTAAAGATGTTACAGTTAACAAACTACTGACAAGTTCTAAGCTGTTTTGGGTGCTTTCTTTCTTTCTCCCAGCACTGCTTCACTTACTTATTTGCCTAGATTGATTGATTGATTGATTTGTTATTTATTTATTTATTTATTTATTTATTTATTTATTTATTTATTTATTTATTTATTTATTTATTTATTTATTAGACTTATGTGCAGCCCATCGCATCTGAAGGCAATTCTGGGTGGCTTCCAAGCATTAAAAACCAGTAAACGTTAAAATGATGACTTAAAAAAAGGATTAAAAGGATAGAGCTCTGCATTGAAGTGTTGCACCTTCCAAACATTTGCTTCTCCTTTCAGGGCAAGCCTAGTGTATTCAATACAAAACAAAAATCACACTCAGGTTTCATTCAAAATTCAGGAGTCATTGAACTGCTTTGCATTCAACATGCTTTAGCGTCAAACCAGTAAGCTTGCTCAGAGACCTTAATCAGAAGGTACTCCCTAGCAATTCTCCATCTATTGTCTCCTGACTGCCCTGGGGGTTGTGACCTGCACTTGGAGAAACACAAGGCCAGAGGTCTTCAAAACAATAATAGGCAGAAGTCTTCTCCATTGCATCCACCATATCAGTTTCTTAGATGTATCTATTGCATCTTGAGTATGAAAAGCAATCTAACATTGCCAGCCTACTAAGGCTTGAAGAAGGCTAGGAAATAATTGCAATATGAGAATAATGTATCTTTGCTTCTCTTAGAATGGAATGGAGATGACACAATTTGAATTTGTGAGTCAAAAAAAAAAAAAAACATCCAAGGAACTTGTAAGTGTGTAATTCACTGTCTTTAAGTAGTATTACAGAGCATCATCTCTGCCATTTCCTTGGCAGATCTTTTGTTCTCAGGAAGCCAGTATGAAAAAAAAGCAATGTGCCAGGAACACATAGCTTCCTGATTCCCCCTACTTGTGAAGAGAAAGCTGAAAGTTTTAAAAAAGGAGAGAGAAAAAATAAGAACACTTAAGCATTGGCAAAGAGCTGGAGACTATTTTTAACATTAATAGGTGCAATATCCCCGACGTACTCATTTCATTTCCGAATAAAAATTGTTTATATAGAAGCACCGATGCCGATAGGAGTCAATGATAATGTAAGATATTTTGCATACAGAAGGCTCCAAAGTTTTGTCTCTTGACATCTCCCATTAAAAGGGTCCGATAATATACAGATGGGCAGATCCTGGCCTTTTTCCATGATAAGATCCTTCCAAAGACCTTCAACTCTTTACCCTCTCTTTTTTCCCAAATGGCAAAAACATCTGTTAGGTGTATTACAGTCAGCCATACTATGATTATAATTATCAGAATAACCATTTAAACAGGGAAGGAAGGGGAAGGGAAAAGGGGAGGGGAGGGGAAGGGAAGGGAAGGGAAAGAGTTGTACATAATATATAAGATTTTGTGAATTGTACAGAGAATGTGTTATTATGTCAGATCCAAGGGAGTACTGTAAGTGTAAAAGGGAGTGAAGGAAATGGCATACATGATGCTGTGCTTGAGTAATGGGTGCATGTAGCTCTTGTACACTAGTGTACTTGTGCTGTTACAGATAGTGACTCATAGTGAATTAGTTACCTTAAGGATTAAGAGCTGTCTCCTTAAGAGATTGCATTGTGGCAGATGTAGAGAGAGAGAGAGAGAGAGAGAGATTGTATTATGGGAAATGTAGTCCATGACATGTGACCATATCTGTGTGTCTGATTGGCTACAGAGGCTCTCTGCCTGGGTACAGAAAAAAGACCTGGCCATTTTGAACTACCACAGAAGAGAGAAGCATGCTTTCTGAACAGGGGGACAGAACTACCATCATTTTACACTAGGAAATTGGACAGATTATGAAATAAGGATGAATCTCAACATGACTCACCATGACTCATCACGTTTGTAAGTCTATGTTTGAGGATATCCTAATAAATGATCTGTATGAAAACCTGTTTGCTAGAGTTTATCTGCCTGTTCCCAGTGGAGCCAGATGCCTGGGGAACAGAACAGTACTGCTGAAAGAATTCTCCAACAACAATGAAGCTTTCCCCCAAAAAACATTTGCTGACTTCAGAAGGATCAGGGAATTAAAAAGTCAGAACCTCTACCAAGACCTGCAATAGCTAGTCAATCTAGATTTAGTCAGAGAAAAGACCAAATAGGCAATTATGTTCATGAGACTGTGAGTTTTATAGAATCAGCGACTTTTAAGGTACTTCAGGTCATCTAGTCCAGGGGTCTCCAACCTTGGCCACTTTAAGCCTGGCGGACTTCAACTCCCAGAATTCCCCAGCCAGCAAAGCTGGGGAATTCTGGGAGTTGAAGTCCGCCAGGTTTAAAGTGGCCAAGGTTGGAGACCCCGATCTAGTCTAAGTCAGTTTATGGTTCAGCTTCAGAAATTGATACAGCAGTATCAATATCCATCACAGCAGCCACACAAATCATTTTGGAATAATAATTCTGGATTTCAGGAAGGAAAAAAAGTATTCTTCCTTTCTGCAAAACTAAGAGCATTCCACCTGCATTGCTGGCAGATGGTTTACTCAAACCAACCACTAGCTAATTCAAAATACAGGGCTGAACATCTGCTGGTAAACATGCAGCAAACAAAAAATGCAGTTCTGAGCCAAACATCTGCTAAGTGTGGTCCACTTTGCTGCTCATAACCTAAGCAATGTTTTCTGTTAATCATTAACAGAATTATTGATTTTAGATGTGTATCACAGCACTATAATTTTGTCAGGGAGTAGACCACATAAGTTGATCTTTTTCTGGTTGTTTCATTTTGTCTTATTCCAAGAGTCCGTAAATTGATGGCCGGGACAAAAAGTATAATTGACATCATCTGTGGGAAATATTTCATAAAACAACAGGCCCAGATGTAGGATTAAAGCCATGTGGTAGTAAAATACCACACGGAAAAGGGGGGTGGATATCCCAAGTTCCATGGTTTTGTATTTTTGGGGCTGTGTGCATGTGTGTTTGTGAGCGTGTGTGTGTTTTACAAAAACAGATGTGCTTTTCTACCAGTCTGCTTGCTTTTCAATTTTTCTTTTTTTTAAAAAAAACCCCGAATAAAGCCCTTTTCCCAGAATTGCACTGGAAGTGATCATAAATTGGTTACAGGCACCTACTTATACCGTACAATCTTAAGTCTCCCAGTCTTTGAAAAGAAAATAAATGAAAGATGCGTGGTTCTTTTTTGTTTTTTTTAAAGGTAGTGAAGATTATACAAACAGGCATGCTCAATATTTATATAACACCTTCAGGCATATGACCCTGTCTATTACTTCCTGGGAAGCTTTTTTTCCTTTGGAATGAGAACTGGAATGAGTTTTGCACATGAAGATCCATTTTTTTCAAGCCAAAACTAGTGTTCATCATTCTGAATACTCTGAAGTAGAAAATGATGCACAGACGGATTTGCATTTTGAGATTATCTTCTCCCACATCAAAACAGTGCCAAGAAACCCCTCTTGCCAACACACAAAACTTCACTAGCTTACGCAAATGTTTTCAAACAGCAAATCATCCCTTCTAGAACTGTAGAAGAGGCACCACCCCTTCCAGTAAATGCTTGGAGTTCTGGACTTTAGTTAGAATTCACGACCTTTGGGCCAAGGATCATGGATGGTTGGTGGTATCAGGAAGAACTTCAAAACTAGCCTCCAATGTCTACTCTACCCTAAAATACTAGCAGAAGGGGAATCCTTTCAACTCAAATCTCTTCAGCCTGCCAGCCTGCAATGAATGGTTCTCAGTAGACATGTAGCACCCAAGTCCTTAGACCCATGTAGCCTAGACACTCAAGTCTTGGGTGTGGCTTCAGAGGCCCTTCCCAAAGTTTCTGCCAGTGATGTGGTTTATGAAACAGACACTGGAAATTGTGAAATTCATAGGGATTACTCATTTAAACTACTGGATTCATTATGTTAGGTTTTAGTGAAACATATGTTTACATTTCACTCAATCAAATTTACTTTTTTATCTTGGGCCTGTGTCCCAGCAGAGCCACCATTCCACTTTATGCAACCAGAATCAGTAATTGTTAAAAATGGATAGAGCCCTTTTAGCTATGAAGAACTTGTGCACAGCAGCCAGAGCTGATCATTTAGATGATGTTGCTTTCTTTAAGCAACATCCATTCTGGATTTGCTTATTTTTAATCAGCATTCCAGGTTACTCCTCAGATCTTTCATCCTTAGCTTTGTATGGAGCTATTCAGGAAGCTATCAGTTTTACTAAAACCTAGCGTTCACTTTCCCTAATCTCATCTCACCGGGAAATGAACCACACCACATTCAGTGTTGAGTCACTCACTAGCCCACAAATTCAGCTCTAAACTTGAGGCCACTGCCAACCACTGGGATGATTCACTTGGCGAAGCAGATTCTCCTCTCCAATTTTATGTTGGAGGGCTAAATCAAGAATATGGGCAAAAGTAGAAGAACATTCAGAAACTACCGAAGTATGTGTATTAATGCTTGCTTTCTGAAGACTGCTGCAAAGGAATAAGAAAAGTGTCCTTGATTGTGATGGAATGCAGTCTGAATTCCCAGGAGAGAAGGGAGTACATTCTAGAGGAGTATGAGACAACTCAGTGTGAGAGAACAGGGGTGAAGACAGCTCCTCCCTAGTAGTTCTCAGAGTATATGCTTTCAGGGAGTGGTTTAGTTTGGCAAGATGCTGTGTATAGGTGAGGAACAATAAATCTGCTTAGAAGAATTACAACATGTCTGTCTTGGATTTTGGAGCATGACATTGATGGAGATATGTAGAAGATATTACCTGGGCAAAAGTGTTTTTTAATTCCAGAATAAGTTAAAGATTTTTGGTAAAATTCCAGAATGAGATAATCTTCAAAAGCAGTTCATGTAGATACCTCCCCCATTTACAGGAGGAGAAGGAGGAGGAGGAGGAAGAGGTGGTTCAGACATGAAAGATTCCCCTATTACACCCAATCTCAATAAAAGTAGATTTAGCCTTCTGCGATTTCCTGATCTGGTATTAGGGGTGGGTTGCTACCGGTTCGCCCCAGATCGAGCGAACTGGTAGCAGCGGTGGCAGGAGGCTCCACCCACCCACCTGGATGTTTCTGCGCAAGCATGCACACACCCATGAGCGAACCAGTAGTGATGAGATTTGAATCCCACTACTGTCTGGTATACCTGATAACTTCATATATGCCTACACTTCTACAGCTAGTCTCTGCTCTTCAATATCATCCTACAGAGATCAGTCACCAGAGATTCCATCTGGCCAATCTAAATTAGACACTGAATCAAATGACTTTCACTTAAAAAAAAATATATGTTGTGTTCCCCCACCAGTAGCAATAGCATAATTTTCCTCCAGATTAGGCAAAACATTGTAGATTTTTTTAAAAAATATGCCCCATAGGAAACTAAATCAGTACAGGAAGTACTGTACCTGTACATGTACATGTACCTGTTTCAAGCAATCAAGTTACATAAACTAAAACAATTCTATTCGAATCAGGACCAAATCATACAAAGGGTCAGTAGAGATATTCTTGGCCTAAATCCCAAGTATTTAAACAGGCAGCAGAAATTCCCCAGAACAGATACATGGTATAAGCTTCAGTTCACCTGGTCTTTTGACACAGGTATTTGAGATGAACATCAAAAAATATAGCAGCTGTAATCAAACCCATCAAAACAATCAGATGAAACTGAAATAACTCCAACTATTAATACTATAATTCTTACTTTAGGATTAAGACTTGAAGCAATTAAAAATATGACATGTGTAAATACGATTCCGGCTACTGAGTTTCCCAACCTTTAATATCCCAATTCATATGAATCCTTTTAAAACTACATCCCTGTTGATAAATTTGTGACTTTTAACAGCCACATAACCATGATTGATTTTTTTAAATTACGCACTGCCCAGAGATACTCTTCTGTGTGAGATGAACATCTATACAAATATGATAAAACATATAAATATCACATTCCTGCACCTGGCCAAGAAATGTTTGTATAAAAAGCACTTCTCCCTCCATTAGCCCTTCTGCTGATTTTAAGTTAAAATTGCTGCCACAATAGAGATAAGAAGGAATACAAATAAATTATTTTATCTGTCATTAAAAATGACTTGCATTGCTCAAGATTAATGGGCTCCCATAATCTATGACTTCTGGGACCCATAAATTCTAAAGCTCGGAAGAAAGTACAACATAGGACTATCTGTCTGCCTTTGCCTCCTGTAGAGTTTATGTGAACGTGGAGAGGAATGGAACCAAAGAAAGAAAGCATGGTTGACAGAAAGGTTCAACCACTCAAGACCCATTCAGCTGAAACCCAACAATTTCGGTATACCATAGTATGGTACAAAGAAATGTGCACCAGCAGCCTGCGGAGCTGGCAGTGGAGTCGGACAATGAGGAGGCTGGAGAGGAACATGGGCCAGTTCTGGAGTCTGGGGAAGGCCCGGATGAAGGCTGAGATGGGGCCAGGGCCATCTGGGAGTGATGCGCAGACTCCGGAGCCTCCAGAGTCAGACAGCAGAGAGGCAGAGGAACAGAAGGAGCCTGTTCCTAGTGCGCGCATGCACAGAGCTGCCAGAAGGCACGAACAGTTAAAACAAAAGGGACGACTTGGGAGTAAGGCCTGGAGATGATTGGCCCCTCCCATAAGGCTTAAAAGAGGAGCAAAGTCACGTCGGCACTTTGTAGGAAAGCAACATTGTTAATTCTGTTCCCAGTCAGCATCTCTGTTTGATTCTGGAATCCATGTGGCTTTGCCAAGTAGGTCTTTGGCAGAGTGTCAAGGGAGATAAAGGTTGGTGATTATCTCGAAGGACGTTTTGCAACCTAATTGTGACTCAGCTGTGAATGAACGTAATTCACAGCTGTTGCAATAAAAGAAGTTTTTGGGACTACTCGTGTGTTTTAATGACTCAGGAAGCCTAGGTCACAACACATGCTGAGCTACTTACTCTATTGGTGAATAATGACTAGGATGCTAAGCATTTAACAAATAGCTAAGGGATATGTGTCTTTTAAAATGTGTTGGCTATACAGCTAACAAATAAAACCTACACAGTGCAATAGGGCAGAGAGAGACAACTTTCTGGCAGCATCCCCCTTTGCACAATATGTTACAGGCAGTGTGGCATAAGAGCCACATAGAAAGATTTTGCAAGTGGCTGGAAGAACAAAATTAAATTAATCAGACGTGATTGCGATTGCTTTGGATTACAGGTATCCCTCGACTTACAACAGTTCATTTAGTGACCATTTCAAAGTTACAATGGCACTGAAAAAAAGTGACTTATGACCATTTTTTCACACTTATGACTGCTGTAGCATCCCCGTGGTCACATGATCAGAAATTGGATGCTTGGCAACTGACTCATAATTATGATGGTTGCAGTGTCCCAGGATCATGTGATCCCTTTTTGCAGCCTTCTGACGAGCAAAAATCAACAGGGAAGCCACATTCACTTAACAACCGTGTTACTAACTTAACCAATGCAACCCTTCGCTTAGCAACCGTGGCAAAAAAAAGTTGTAAAATGGGGCAAATCACTTAACAAATGTTTCACTTAGCGACGTAAATATTGGGCACTATCGTGGCCGTAACTCGAGGACTATCTATAATGAATTCACTGATAAAATTTAACACAGAGAGACCCAGATGGAACAGTGTGGCCCCTGACTTTTTTCATCTCAACTGACTTCCAGGTTTAAAGGAAATAAAAAGGAAACCTGATTCTCAGGTTAAAAAGAAATTAAAAGTGGGTGAGCAAACATAAAACAAACCCAACCTCTACCAGCAGGCACTGGTGATGAAAACAGAATCTGGAGAATAAAATATATGCTTATGACATACCATATTTTTCGGAATATAAGATGCACCTTTCTCCCCCCTAAAAGAGGCTGAAAATTAAGGTGCATCTTATACTCCGAATGTAGCTTTTTCGAAGCTTTTTTCCAGCCCTAACGAGGCGCTAGCCGAGTGAAGCAATCTCCCCGTGCTTTGCGTGCCTTTCTCATTGCTGCTTCCTCTCAGCTGTGCCCTAGAAGCAAACTAACGTGCTGAAGCTGACCAGACTAAGGACGCTTGCCAGATGGATACCTGGTAGGCAGATTTTTTTTTTCCTATTTTCCTCCCCAAAAACTAAGCTGCATTTTATACTCCAGTGCGTCTTATACTCTGAAAAATACGGTAGTTCCTCCTTCTGAATACCCCCATAGTTAATTACTTCATACTTTCAGTTTCTCTATTCTCTGGTTTGTAATGCTGGAAATATTCATGGTGTCAATACTTATCACTTATCCAAAGTCCCACATCTGTATGTTGTCCGATTAATCATTCTAAGATACAGTATTTGTAGCAATGTGTATTTTTTTTTAAAAGAAACTTCACAACTGGTAATTTGTATTGCCCAAGGACAGCATGCCTGCAGCAGTGGAGAGTAAACATTTGCCGTGGTGCAGTACAAATACTTTTGAGTGGCACGTCTTCTAAATTTAGGAAGTGCCACACTAAAGTCAATACCACAATCTACTGTCTGTTTGCTTTTTAAGGGGGCCCCTATATTAAATGTCAGATGGGCAAAATGTGATACAAGGCAGGGTGAACACTTTTGTTAACCATTCCTGCTTTCAGAGGCCTAGGATCCTTCTTACCCACAATAATCGAATGTTGAATTGAAACGTTCAAAAAAGTCTCCATACTCCATGGCATAAAGCAAAGTTGGATATCGTCAAGAAGCAAGCCCTTAATATTTTAAAAAACCGGAATGCAAGCAAGGCCAAAACTATAGAGTCTGTGACCCAGGTCTGTTTCCAAACTCAGAACACTCTGCTTTACTAAAAAGGAGTGATTTACAACGTGGTTTTCTTTTTAAAGGAGAGGAGTGCTTTTCCAGGATTTTTCAGTTTTCTAGCTATTTACCTAGTGGGATCAAAGCAAGTACATGGGGTGAGGGTGGAAATTGAAAAAACAACAGTTTGGGGTACCTTTTTCACTTATTTGTCCATCATGGCAATAACAGCTCTGGATTATAACAGCCCTGATCTTTCTCTTCCCATTTTGAAGCCTAAAATGAATCTGCTGACCTACAAGCACCAGAGATACCAGCCCACATTTGCAAAGCAGCTATTCTCTCACAGGCGTCTTTTTAATATGGGCCTTTCCTTCATTACTGTTCAAGCTGAGAGTTATTAGTTATTAGCATTTTTATGAGTTCTACTAGACTTCAAAGACCTACCTGTTTAGCCAGCTGCTGAGTAACCAGCTGAATTTTAGGAAAAGACAGCACGTCCTGCTTCATAGTGAGAAATAGGAAGAACGACAAACTGAGCAAGGAAGAGAGAGTTTGCGCTCTCTTAAATTTGTTTGTCTCTTAAATATGTTAAAGTTCAATTATGCATCTATCTCCCAGTATTCTGTTGCTGCTCTTGCTCACCTAACAATGGGTGAGCTCTGTTGCTATGGTAATAAGATGCATCCCTCCCAGCCCTGAGATAGTCAGCAACTACTTATTATATATGTCATATATTATGAGAGACATGACAAATGGCAGATGATAAATGATAGATAGATTATAGATAGGAGGGAGGGAGGGAGAGAGAGAGAGAATATCTATATTTTAAGAAAATTCCACAAGGGAGAGTTGCCAACAGAAATTGACAGAGAAATCCAGGATTTCATCCCATCTCCAACTGGGTATGTCCAACCAGAAGAAAAAAACATCAATGTTAATACAAGGCTTGTTCTAAACTGGCCAATTTGCTGCTTCCAATATTTCCAAGGGGAAAAACTGCCTACCCTGTCACTTTCACACAAAACCCCAAAGTCCCCCTTTGATTGCCTACAGGAGTTCTATCCCAGAGGAGACAACAAAATATAACTTGTATTTGGAAATGGTAATGATATTGCTTTGACTTCCTTAATTCTTTTTCTTTTCCCTTTCGGAGACTTAAAGGTTTATTCATACCAATAATGTTTGCTTTTTTCTCAGACTGAAATTAAAATATGTCCCCTTCTTTGGGGTTGTTCTCTTTTTCTAAAAGCCTCTCCCATTTCATCAAAAGAAAATCGCTGGCCAGAGCTGCTTTTCGCCATCATTCATTGATGACTGATCCCCAGGGAATGGGCTGTATAATGCTTATTATAAGGACTACAGAAAGCAACCTACAGTTGGTGATACGTGATAGAGAGAGATAGAGAGAAAAGCATGAATGTATTAAGCAACAAAATCCACTTTAATATTTGTCAGGAGAATTTTGCTGAACTACCGAAGGAAACTGAGATTTAAAGGTTACAGAAAGTCTACTGTTCATGGAAAACAAATTAACACTAGGCATTTCTGGGCTAAACCACTCTGTTATTTTTATCTTCATCGCTATTCCTTGCACATTTCAACCTGCCTACATGATGGCTCTTCTGGGATTAAGCGGTCATGTTTCAGTATTCACTGACCCTGAACAATTTATCATTTCCACACTTAAATAATAGGGGGTGCTTTTATTTTTCCAAGCACATTCTCCTTCCCCATCACCCCCTTCCCCCGTTTTTTTAGAGCTGAAATTCTGAATTGCACATAAAAGTTAGTCATCGCTGCTTTTGAAGCCAAAGTTAAGGGGAAAAAAATTCTTTTAGGTTCTGTTTTTCAATTATTTCTGGAACGAACCTGTCAGAAACATACGGATAAAGAATCAGCTAAAGTAATATTTATTTTTTTAGCCAGGCAGCTGTGCTAATCTGTTGAGGCAAAAATAACAAATTTCAATCTTTTCTGTGGATGGTCACCATAATTAATTTGCATACATTTCCTCATTAATAACATAGTTATGACTCTCTGTATTCCCTGCTTTTGGTTTCTTTCCCTCTGATCTCACTCGCTTGCATGTTGCTGGCTAACTAAGACTAACAGATTATTAGATTCAACTAATAAAACTCAAGCTATTGTCCACTTCTTTGCCTTTACATTATGAGATTTTTCCAATATTTTTGCTCCATTTTAAATTCTCACCCACCTAGAGGTACACAGCAAGCTAGCCAGAACTATTTAGCCTTTGGCCTCACCGATCACATAACAAGAATCTTAAAATGATGTTAAGTGCCTGACCTTGCTCCTTCTGGGTTAAAAAGTCTGGCTGGGTTACCGCTCAAAGACTAATTAATTGCATGTCTACTTGACAGAAGACAAGAAAAATCTGGCATGAGCAATCACTGGTGCTTGTCAAAATAGGATGTAAATAAGATCACATTTTCTCCCTAAAGTCATTTTCTTAGGGCATATTTGGGAGCATTATTAAGTAAACCTCTAAAACATTTGCAACCTCAGCATTATCCTTAGGAGAGGACATTTTCTTCTGTTAGTGACATGAAATTATTCTGCCCCCCATTTGGGGTCTTCTGGATCTATGCTATTCAGGCATGCTGGCTGGGAGGTTACGGGACTTGTAGTCCCAATATATCTGGAGTGTGCCAGGTTGGGAAAGTAGCCGTATTGTTAGTCCTGTGGTGTAATTCAAACAAGAAGTACGACCAGGAGTACTAGCTGTATTTTTATTGTAAGGTTACTTTAACATTAAGCATCTTGCAAGCCGGAAAGTCTTTCTTTATATGGTTCTATATATTTATCTCTCTCTTTTCCCCTCTCTACTTCCTTCTCCTTCCTTCCTTCTCCTCTCCCCTCTCCTCCACATCCCTCTCCTTCTTTCTCCACTCCTTTTATTTTAATTTATTTTAATTTTATTCTACTTTATTTTATTTTTTATTTTATTTTACTTTATTTTACTTTATTTTATATTTTATTTTATTTTATTATTATTTTATTCATCCAATCAATCAATCAATCAATCAACTTTTATGGTCACCCATTTCAATGACTCTGAGCATAATATATTCACAAAATATATTACAGTTAAAAATATTGGAAACATTTTAAAACAATAAAAACCAATAAGAGCTCTAAAAAACATCCAAATTAAATATATATAGGAGCAGGATATTTGCCCAATTAGCAATATAACTGGGGCCCTTGACACATTCACACTTACTGTCCAAACACTAAGGAAGGTCCCTTCTGAGACATTTCCCACGGCCTCTTTAGTCTTTTTTTCTTTTGTGGGCTGAGATACCTTTTAACACAACAGTTGTCCAGTCTGAGGCTCTCCCTCCTGTTCCGCAAGGTCATTCCCACAGAGCATTGCATACATTAACTTCACAGGATTTACATAGTTTTTCAAAATAATTTATAGTGAATTTGGAAACAGGGTCCCAGAGTTGCCTATCATTTTTTCTTCTATTTCCAAAAAGCAGTTGTATAAATGAGGAGGAAAGATGAGGGGTTTTTTGTGGAGCATGAGAAACTATTCATACAATTAAAACCCCATGACCCAGTTTGGTGGTATGGTTAAGGTGCTGGCCTAGTTCTGCCTTAGACATGAAAGCCAGCTGGGTGACTTTGGGTCTCTCTCTCTCTCTCCCTCCCTCCCTCCCTCTCTCTCTCTCTCTCTCTCTCTCTCTCCCCCCCCCAACTCACCTGACAGGTTTTTTGTTGTGGGGAAAATATCAGGAAGAAAGGGTATTGTGTATGTTCTCTGATTTGGGCTATTTATAATAGAGGTGGGATTTTAAAAAATGAAGTCAAAATTACAAATGTCACCTTCTCCTAGTTTATCTTTAATGGTAAAAGATGACTTAAAGAAAATATTAAGCAAGTATTTAATGGAACCTACCTCTTAATGTTAACCAATAATATCTAACTGTATTGAGTAGCAATATCTAAAATATGCCTTGTGGAAAGGATATTTCTTTCAGTAGATGAATGTTATTTTGACTCATTACTAGGCCAACCTACTACCAGACTGATATTAGATGTTACTCAGTGGTGGTATTCAGCCAGTTCTATCCGGTTTGCACGAACCAGTAGCGGTGGCAGGAGACTCCGCCCACCTACCCGGATGTAATCACATCCCATTTTTGATGCTTTGCACATGCATGGAAGGTTCTGCGCACGCTCACATTTGCGAACTGGTAGCGAAGGTAAGTGAATATTACCCCTGATGTTACTTATGTGATCTTTTGAAAAAGGGAAGAAAAGAGAAAGAGAAACACACATATACTGTACCAAGTAAGGGATTTCTGCCTCATATATACAGTCATATTTTATTGATGTGGGGAGGAGGTGCCTCCAGTCATGTGCAGAAGAAAAACTATTCATTAAAAATCTCATTGCAGTCTATGTGTGTGGTTGGGTGTGTTCAGAGACACACTGAAATTAAACACCCTTATAAAGATAGTTTGCAACCAATAATAAAATAAAGATAAAATGAAACAGATTCCAAATCTAGTGTTTCATCCAACATCCCAGGCACTGTACATTCCACTTGCCCAGCTCATTTAAAAAAATAACTTTTGCTGTTTTTGTTTTGTTTTTAACTTTGGGCAGAGCAAATATTCTTTTACCCAGAAGTACCGACCACCAATCATCTTGCCCTCTTCTTTCTTGTTGTGGGGCTTTTCCTCCTGGCCACATGAATGTGCTTATCTCTGGTCCACAAGGAGACAAACAAACAGTAATGGGTTTCAATTTAGTTTGCTACCGGTTTGCTCGCACGTGTGACACTTCTGCGCATGCGCAGAAGCGTCCGGGCAGGTGGGCAGAGCCTCCCACTACTGCCGCTACCAGTTCGCCCAATCCGGGAGGAACTGGTAGCAACCCACCACTACATACAAGTATATCTTTGCTACCCTACCTTCACTGCTCAGACCTCTTCTGACCTAGGGAGCAAGGACGTCTTCACAGATTTCATACGAGATACTTTGAAGAAGTGGCTGTTGTGTTCCCTTGCTGCCACCTGCCATTACCTGCAGGAAAAATGACCATGAACCAAAGGGAAGAGGCACATTCTGATGGCTGGCCAAAACCTGCTCCCAAGTTAGTGAACAGGGTAGTTCTGCTGAGGTAAAGCACCTGCTTTGCCAGGCAAAACCACCCTCACTCAACCCTGAAATACTGGCTCACCTTTACCAAGCAGGGCCACATACCCATAAATGGGGGAGATGTAGCAGCCTGGTCTTGTTAGCATAATGTTATTTCTACTTCAGAAAGAAAGTATGTGTGTACATGTATAGGTATATGCATATATAATATGTATGTATGCATGCATATTTACTGATTTTGCTTGTGATTCATAAATCCTTTCACATATTAATGTGAAAATGAGACAGCATTTCTACCTTGAGTACTGGATACCGCAGGCTATTTGCAACCTTAGCAACTGGAAGGATGAGCTATTGATAGGGCCAAAGTACCCTATTAAAAAAAGCACTGATGCATTAGGAAAATTCAGCTGAGTTGCCATAGTAATGAAAACTGTCAAGAAAAGTTGTGACAAATAGTAGAACCCTGACTACTAAGGTCACAAGAAGGGATTTATTTAAT